TTCTTCAACCTCGACTCGGGGATCTTTGTCCGCGTCCGGCTCCCGCTGTTGACGGATCACTGTGTTCTTGACTCCGTCGAGGGCCTCCTGGTCCTCCAGCGAGACGAGGACACCGCCATCCGCCTCCTCCACCCTTTCACTGGCGACATCGTCGAGCTCCCACCGCTCACGTCTCTTGCCATGCAACTCAAGACCGATTATACGGAGGCAACCAAGCTGAAACTAATGAGACACATCTCTGCTTCCATCTCGGTCGCTGACGACGGAGTCGTGAGAGTCATGGTTATCTTGATCCGTATGATGCGGGCAGCTGTTGCTACCTCCCAAGATACGGAGTGGAGTATGCTGTCATGGAGAGTTCCAAGTCATTACCAACCATTGTCGACAGGAGGCAAGCAATATCTCGTGCATGACACTTTCTTTGAAGATATTGATCCTGATGTAGCACAGGTTTTTCAGATGGAGGCGCACCTGCAGGATACACCAAAGCTGATTGCCACGATCCCAAGGGAGATACTCGCCTATCCTGTCTATCTGGTAGAATGTGACTCGGAGGTCCTAGTGGTCGGGCACAACGACATGTCCTTCACCCACCTGGCGGTTCACAGGCTGTCGGATCTTGTTTCAGAACGGTATGTCCCGGTAAAAGGAATCGGAGACAAAGTCATATTCGTGGGAGGACGGGCATTGTGTGTCTCTTCCAAGATACTGCCTCCCACTACAGGCAACGCCGTGATCTATCAGCATCCACGGGAGTTAACATTTTCTCAATACTGTCTTGGTAGTAGCACCTGGTGGCTAGCAACCGATGAATGCAGCATGAGCATGAGCGGCTTGACACAAGGACCATGTAGCCTTATCCCCCATGTCTTTACATGTTGCTCTCGTCGTCACTGGTATGCATGTATGCTCTACCTGCTTAATTAATTGTTTATGATAAGATACATTGTTAATTGATTATTCACTTGCAGGAACAAGGGACTAATGTATTGGCGGGATAATGAACCACTCACGTGGAAGGTGAAGCAAAAGTTTCGAGACGGGGTAAATCATTCTCATGACCCCTCCCTCATAAGCCCTACTCGTTTATTTAGCTAGCCACACTTGTATGTATAGCCTGGGATATTTTTAATAGTCAGTTTCACCATTGATTTTATTACGAATATGTAAGTAAGTAATTATGAAAATGCGTATTATTAAACTATTTTCTTGACAATCCCACGTTACCATTTTCATCTATTTGAGAAATTTGACTGCAAGCTCTCTAGAACATCTTGTATTTTTAATTAGACGAAGTAGAGTCGTACTTTCAATTTGATGTCTTTCTTTCGTTCTACCCAGCCTGTACTTTCATAATCTTAAATAGCTTAACAAGCTAGATTAATTACACCCAGAAATTGCTCCAAAAGTTTATTTTACCTATCTGATCCATGATTTCCTTGTACATGTGCTCATTCTAATTTTATTGGTCTTTTTTCTTATGATAACCCTCTGACATCTTCCTTTGTGTTCATGTCCTTTTCTCTAGGCCTAATTGTTCTTGCATCCAAAACGCTGGAGATTGCTATCCTCTGCATCCTTTCCACCATGAAGAGAAATGCAGAAATATTGGAATATGCTATCGCTTTTTTAGATGAACCCCTTCGATTCCACC